GGCCTTTAAAGGAGGATCTATGACAATTTGCCATGGCCAACTTGCTGCGGCCAACTCGCTGTGGGACAACTAGCCATGGCCAACTTGCTGCAGGACAAGAGTTACACTAATATTAAAGAAATGGTGGAATAGAATCATTAAAGAAACGATACAAAAGGAGGGATAAAATGAAATTAATTTTTTTTTTATTTACTTTAAAATATTAAAATATTTTTTTTATTTACTTTAAATAATTAAATTGAATTGTTCAACTGTCCCATGAAAAGTTGTCCTGCAGCGAGTTAGCTGTGATGAGTTGTCCCACAATGAGTTGGCCATGGTGATTTGACTGTGTCAAGTTTGCCGCAGTGAGTTGGTTGTGGTGAGTTGTCTCATTTGGTTTAAAGGTGACAGCACCATGAATTTCACCCAGAAGCAAATCAGCAGCCTATACAGCTCCTGCAGAAGAGGTGACACATCGAGGACTGCACAAAACCATGTGCACACAAGGTCTGCACAAAACCATGCAGGCCACTGCATTGTGAACCAACCAACTGGAACTTTTCAAGGGCAGCCCCATATAGAGCATGTTGCAATAGTCAAGATGGGAAGTGACTAGGGCATGACTGACCACGAGTTGGGATTGTTAGGGAAGGTGCGCAATCTAAAGTTATGCAACGGTCCTCCTGGCCACAACTGCCACCTGCTCCTCAAGCAGGAGTCTTCAGTCCAGGAGAACCCACAGATTATGCATTGGGGCTGTTTGGGGCAATGCCACCCCATCCAAGACCAGAGGTATAAATTCTCCATGGACCAAAGAACCTCAAATCCAGAGCCACTTGATCTTGCCAGGGTTCAGTTTCAGCCTGTTGCTCCGCATCCAGCCCTTAGGACTCTGCAAAACAGTGGATGAGGGCTGTACCTCTTGCCACCTATCAACATTGAATGAGATCAGCCACAAAGGAAGGAAGTGAACCAGGATAGTACAAAGCCCCCACTTCCAACCCCCAAAGCCACTCCAGAAGGATATCACAGTTGATGATATCAAAGGCTGCCAAGAGTTCAAGTAGAGCAAGGATGGATGCACTACCCTCATCCTGAGATAGGCCTTGATAGCAGCTCTTACCCATTCGATTGAGTTCATCCCTTGTCTTACGCCAATAGCTTTCTAGACATCTCTTCAACCATTTCATTCCTTTTAGTTCTTCTGTATACAATGGAGGACAAAGAGATCTACAGGTGAGGAGAGTTGCAGGGGCACAATCCATCCAGAGCCTCAGTCACCTTCCTATTCCAAGTAGTGACTAAGAACTCAGTAGGACTGTGTAGCAGATCCACAGTTATAACCCCCAGATCCTTCTGGAACCCATCCGGGTCCATTAGTCACCGTGTGTGTGTGTGGACCAATCTAATAGGTCCCTGCAAGGAGGGGAATACAGCTCTCAAGAAGCTCATTGCCATCAGACCGTGATCTAACCATGACAGGGGAACCAAAGACAGGTTCACCAATTCCAAATCACATAGGCAGTGCTCCAGTAGGAACACCAAATTGGGTATGTGACCACTATTCCTAGTCAGGACCTGGATAATCTGGGACAGGAAGTCATGGTTCCCATGAAATCCTAGGCAACCTCCGACCCCCACTCTTAGGGATGGCAGGCTGAAGTCCCCCAGAACTATTAAGTCTGGGGAACTCCACTGCCAGCTCTGCGGTGAGGTCCAGGAGCCCGGGTAGTGGAGCTACCACACAGCAGAGAGGCTGATACAGTAACAGCCGCCCACATGATCGTTTGAGTCCATGGCTGGGTCTCACGGCTGGGTACATGTGGAGGCATGGAAGCAACCAGAGATTCTTTGGTAACAATAGCCACTCTCCCTCCCCCGCCCTGAGATCTAGGCTAGTGCCGTGCTTAATAACCCACTGGGCACATTTCTGAAAGGGGAACACCTCCCTCTGGGCCCAACCAAATCAGCCGTCTCTTCAATAATCAAATCAGTAACAAGGCAAACCTTATTCAGGCTGATCTGACATTTAAAAGCAGCCCACAGATCTGTTGACCAAGTAAATAAGGTGAGTACAGGGGGCAGAACATGAAACTGGTACTAAATACTGAGATCATGTTCCCTGTAAAGGGCTTCCCCCTTGTCTCCCATATCTCCTATTTCCTGACACCACAAAAAACTGCCCTCACCTACAAACCATTCCATCTCCCATCTTCCACACTCTTTACTGCTCTAGAAGGGGAACCTCCTCCAGCTGACAGTCAGCAAGGCGAGCCCGACAGACACTATAGCACTTGCTCCCAGCACCCTCAATATCACAACACCCCCTTCCTCACGCAGCAGAAGGATCACATCCAGCACCCTCTTATCCCTTAAGACATTCACAATACATCCATTCAATGCACAAACAACGCCCTGCCCAGTCGCTCTCACCCATCAGCAGGGAGCCACTCCTCCCCCCTCCAAGCTCCCACCCAGGGGAGAGGGATAAACACACTCACCTGATTCCTTAACTTCAGGAATCAAATATAAATGACAAAATAATAACTGCCTGATTGTTTTCATTCAAATTTATATTTTTCTGTTTTCAGTACTAAGTTGATTCTAAGTTGATAGTTTCGGCTGAGATTTTGTTATACAATGCGTTATATACCAGAATCTGGTTTAACATTCAGCACTCTGTATAGTATCCTCTTAGCATTGCTGAAATTACTTTTTACTTTTGATACTCCAATACCAATATAACTAATGCCCATTTTATTATTTAAATGAAACTCATACAATTTCTGAAACTTTTTCCTGTTATTGTGGTGGAACTTATTTCTTTTTCTTATTAAACATAAGTATCATTTAAAGGACGCTCCAGGAAAAAAAAACCTGTATATTTCTAACCTGTATATTTTGTTATGAAAGATCTGAGCACAAATATGACCAATAAAAGTCAGCACATCCTTTTTTTGATTGAAGGCAACCAATATTAAATTAATAAAGTCAAATGATATTAATACACTACTAACAAATCATGTTGAAAGTAATTTATCAAGCCTTATGAATTATCTCCAGGACTTCACTGATGAGATCAGTGAAGAGATCAGTGAAGAGCTGTAATGTGTTTTATGTGTAAGTATATGCTATTAGAAAGTCACCATTATAAGACAGGAGCTGTTTAGATATACATTATAAAAACAAAATGTCTTTTTCAGCTTCCAAATGTATTTTATTTTGTCTCTGACTGCAATACAGTTTTTAAAAATATAAAAACTTTAACTTCATATCCACATATTTAGAAAAAACTATATAATAATGAGTTTATATGAATATACATTTAACTTTTAATATTTGAATACATAAAATGTTTTAGAAAGAATTACCATGAGTGAATGTATGTGTGAACTAACAGGAATCATAGGTTGTTGCATGTTACTAATTTGTATTTTGTTATACTACCTGCAAAATTAGGTAGACTCTGACTACCCACTATAACCCACAATTATGTTGTTCTTGTCGTTATTATTGTTATTATTATTATTATTTCTTATTTGTAACATTGATCTGTGAACCATAATAAAATTATTATCATTATAAGCTGGTGATAAGTCCAAATAAAATTTATGAGAAAGAACTTATTTCATGTATTCAGTTAGAGTCCTCACTGTTTTATTAGTATTATTTTATGGACCCCCCCCCAATACTTTTAATCTGGTGCCATCTTTATTCTACTAATTTAGAAAAACTGCTAACATCTGTTAATTTTTCTGATCCTGTTAAGCTCCTGATTTTCTCAGTCTTTACGGCATCTGTAAAAAGTGGATTAATTTTCTGAGGATAATTTAAAAATACATTTTTAGTCAGAGAGAGAGAGGGAGGGAGGGAGGGGGAGAGGGAGGGAGGGAGGGAGAGAGTACTGAATTTAAGACCCTGTCTCCTGACAACATCAAACAACAACAAAATACCTAATCTATTTATAATACCAGATCCCCAGCAAATTAAAGATAATTTTCGTATTTTCAAAGTAAATAACTAATAAATGGGAGAAGAAATATGTTTTATTTCTAAGTAAATATAAATGTTTATATTGTTTTCTCATTGTCCTAAATTGTTATGGCATTTTGGAAATAAATGATACTTATATTAATAGTGTACTGGAATTTGCATATATTCAGTTTAAGTCTTCTATAAAAGCAGGATGGCTAGATGATTGGCAGTATTCTATGAGTTTTATGGAATATGAATACAAGTTTCCCCATATTCTTTGAGGATTCTATTTCCAAGTTCTTGTATTAATTAATTTTTACCTTTTAAATCTTTTTGAAAAAGAAAACCGAAGACTGATTTTCTTTTAAGTATAGTACATTCAAATATAATTGAACCTTATGAACAGAAGATATATGTAGCTAGCTTTATTTTCATTTAATTTGAATGACAAATGTATGTTTTTATCCCCAGGAGTAGTATTTGTTCACATATGGCTGTTGCTTTCCATATGAATATTTATCAGTATATTTCACTGAAAACTCCTCAGTATGCTAACAAGCAATGGACCTTCAGTACTGTATGAGAAAGTTTTGTACCAAACATTGTTTACCAAACTTTGTCCATATGCTTTTAGACTGGAAAAATTCCAATTCACTTTGGAAATGAAATATTTTATTTGCCGGACTCTGAAATAATTAAACATTTGCACTTTTGTAACTCTATTAGTCAATTAAATACATTTACTTACAAAATATTTAGATTTTTGAGACCTTGATAGAAGAATAAGATGCTACAATTTATTAAACAAAAATTACTTAAGCATTAGAAGGGTTAGGTTTTTTTTGATATTATACTAATAACTTTAAACCATTGGAACTTTCAATTTTTTTAAACATTGAGGACAAAGCGAATTCATATTGTCTTTCAGAAGATTTAGAAATGTTCAGACATAGAATGTTCTAGATAAACAGAACTCAATTAAACAAATAAGTCAAAAGTATTATACTTATTCATTTATTTATTGAGAAAAACGATCCAAACTTTAAGTACCACTGAACATTAAGGACAAAGTGAATTCATATTAATTTTCTTTCAGAAGATTTAGAAATGTTCAGACATAGAATATTTTGTCATATATGCCACATATATTTTGAGATGAGAAATGCAAAACTAGAACATGCATGTTAGCATTTATCTTTTGACTGCTGTCATTCTGAATAACAATACTGTTGTGACAAAGAATAGAATGGGATGATCTCACTTGAGATGGCATTATGAAAAACATATCGGTTAAGTGGGAGAAGCTGTATTTCTTATAGAAGGAATATGGTTTCCACGAATGAAAATTCAATATTCCCTGGGGGTTCAGAATTAAATGCAGACTGTAATAATTACTCTAATTATGTCTGTTGTGATTCTACCTTTCAGTCTACATGAAACAAACATATAACAATTAGTTACACTTTCATTTAATTAATGAGCTTTAGGAGAGCCAGCTATTATTTCAGTTGAATTCTAATTCATTTAGAATAGGCCAAAGATAAAATTGTTTGTTTTAATTTGACAATAAACGTGCCATGGGCATCAGGCAAGACCATATTTATTTATTTTCCCCAGAGTCTAAAGTTCTTTTTATTCATAGAAAAAAAACCACAGAATCAGCAGCAAGTGTTTGTTTTCCTAGTTTTTCTGGACTCTGAGCCTAAGCCTCATTTTCCTGGACTTTAGTTCAGACTTTGATTTTATTAAGTCTTTCATATACTTATATGGCTTCTGGAATCAACTGGTAAAAGGACTGCACATTATGTCTATTTGAAAATATATTGTATATTAAATCAGACCTTTGGTCCGTCTATAGTTAATATTATCTATATTCTACCAAGAGCTCCCCAAATTACAGAAATGTTTTTCGGCTATACCTGAAATTAATCAAGAGCCTTTTCCATGCCAGTAGTGTGTCACAGACATCCTTAATGTGTATGAGGTCACCATGAGAACTTCAAAACTTGAGATAAAGTCCATAGTCACATTCTTAAACAGAATCTCCCGAATTCAGTAGATGTGTTGATATATATGCATGGAAGATGGAGGTCCATATCTTTATTCATTCACTATCTCAGACTAACCTATTTAATAAAACACAGGATATGCAGCTTCTGTGTACTTGGGGATTCTCTGGCAAACGATGTTCATTATTCCTGCTCAAAAAAAGGTGAGGAGGCTTTGTTCTCATATTTTAATTCCACAACACTGCTGGTATTCTTCCAATGAATGATAACCTTTTGACTTTTGGCAAGCAAAACAGCCTTATTCCTTCACTGGCTGCTAAGATATCAATGCAACAGATTTTTAATTTGAGGAAAATGTTCCCAGCATATGGTAGTTAAAGTAGGTTTTTCATAATTATAATATATCTAGAAGGAAGAGGAGAAAGATGAAAAAAAATATTTATTTAAGATATAAAATATTTATCTATTTAGTGCTTTTCTTTTAAACGAAATACAGTGGTGCTATCAATGTAGTCCAATCATATTGGAATCAAACATGTTAATGGAACATACATATATTGTATTGTATAGTTATGCCATTGCCATTTTAAAAACATATTTTTCTCTAGAAAGCTCTTTTACTATGTTTTCTAGCTCAAGACAGGAAGGATCACCAAGTTTCATGGCCTGTTTTTGCTTATACTGAGAATTAAAGTGCAGGATGATACTGGTTTTTATTTATAAATCATAGCTATAGCAATTTTGTCAACAGAGTCACAAAGGAGTTTTAAGCAAGGGGGTGGTTTCAGAGTCACCTATTATTCTCACAATATTCTTGTGAGTCCCTTCAACAAGATGTGCAAAATGGATGCATCTGCAGTGTTGAGATCTGGACAAATGCTGACATTCTAAATAGAAAATATGAACAATTCCATATAAATAGCAGATTAAGCAAATGAGGAAACACATGCACATTCCTGGATATCCTTGTCTGGAATAATTGCATTTACTTACATGTAACAAGCTGCCAAGTTGACTAGAAATATAGGGGGTCTTGAAAAACCAAGCACTTGCATTGTAAAAGCAGTTAGGTTTTGCTACTTCTGAACCATGAATCTTTGGTAGGACATCAAAACTGAACAGTACCAGAAGACCACTTCTCATTCTTGTTTCTGTTTTTGTGCCTTCAAATCAGTCTCATTCTGATTCTATTATATAAAATGTAACAGAAGAATCTTGTAATTTTGTTTCATTTTTCTCATTTTCTTATTAGTAAAAGTCCTTTCCTTATTTTGTATAACGTAATAGGACTAGCAGCTGAAACTGATCTGTGTATTATAAGGCAGCAACCAAAGTAATTTCAGCAAGAAAGGGACATTTATTATGGAAAGTTATACTTTCTTTCCATCCATTCATTTCTTTTTAAAATTGGGATGCATAATCTTTTTGAATGTTGACATCATGTTCTGAAAAGTCTCAGAAAATGGCTACCATGAGGGAGTTGCCCATTCAATATTTAACAATGTAGCCAATAAAATGATACCCATTTCTGAAAAGGAATCTTTACAAAGTTCCTTCCTCTGACACACCTAATCCTCATTATTAATAAGGACTGATCGGTGAGCACATGTGGGTTACAGTCACCCCACAATTTTTCTTTTTTCTTTTTCTAAAAATACCCATATACCAAATACAGGCACCAAAAACAATTAACAATTAAGTTAAACAATTAACTTTTTAAAATTAATGTGATATAGCATTAAAGTAATGGAGTGGTGGCCTAGTGGTAAAGTCGCTTGTCTCCCACTTGGAAGATTGAGAGTTCAATCTTAGGTAGATGTTTCTTTCCTATGGCGCAAAGAAAAATATCTGCTGAGAACTGCAGGTGGCATCAGGAAGGGCATCTGGCCAGTAAATGCTCAGCTCCATCCAGGTGCCCCGACTCTACCCTGAATTAAGGGATTACAGGGTTGCAAAAAGGAGATAAAACTATATAACTGGTATATAGTTCATTTTTTTTTTAGTGGACCTAGGTACGCTTAACTATACAAAAAATAGACCTATATTTGAAGAAAAATTCTATGGAATTGAGTAGACTGACTCTTCCATGTGTATCCATATTTTGTTATATATAACTTGTGCCATGCTAGTAAAATTGCTTAAACTGGCAAGCACATAAAATGTGTGTTATAATCTCAAATTATGGAACTCTCTTCCAGATAACCTACACTTGACTTTGTTTATACATACCTATTAATCCTGGGAATAAGCCACTTTATATTCATTGGGATTTACTTCTATATCAATATGGACAATGAGGTGAAAAGACTGCAAACATGATACCTTCACTGTGGCCTTTCCTTTAAAATGTGAAAGGATTATATGAACAGCTGTATTCTTATAATAATTGAAGTCCTATGATAGTTTGATTTTTTTTTTTAGAAATATCACTTTGGAAGGATTGGTCCCCCAAAATAGGTTCAAAATACACTGAATAAATAACAAGTAATAATCCTTCTTTGTAAAAATATTAGAAAACTATCCAGTTGCAAATATTATTTTTTAAAACAGTGCTATTTGTACCCATACAACTGGCTTTGTCTGGGTAGGTAGTTGGACTGGAAGATTGTGAGGTCCCCTCCAACATGATTCCATGAACTAAAAAAAAATCTTATATTCAGTCTCAAATTAATTTCCAGTCCAGGGAGTCCTTGGCTTATGGGAAAAAAATTTGAGCCCAAAGTTTCTATTGCTAAGTGAGACAGTTGTTAAGTGAATTTTGTCCCATATAACAACCTTACTTGCCACAGTTATTAAGTGAATCACTGTAGTTGTTAAGTTAGTAACACAGCTGTTAAGTGAATCTGGCTTCCTCATTGACTTTACTTGTTAGAAAGTCACAAAAGCTGATCACATGACTCCAGGACACTGCAACTATCATATTAACCAGTTGTCAAGCATCTGAATTTTAATCACGTGACCATGGGGATAATAATAATAATAATAATAATAATAATAATAATAATAATAATAATAATTTGCAGATCAATGGTGAGAGACTGGGAGAAGTTAATATCAAGAGAGGAATATTTCAAGGAGATTCATCAACAATGGTGAATTGGAAGATCTGCAAAAAATATCATTTGCCTGTAAGCAAAAACTGGTGGGATCATAAAATAGAGAAAGTCATAGAAAATGATAAAATTAAACTGCTCTGGGACTTCAGAATTCAAACAGACAAGCACCTGCAACATAACACCCCAGACTTAACAATTGTCGATAAGAAAGACAAAAAAGTCTGGATAGTGGACGTGGCAGTGCCTGGAGATAGCAGAATAGAAGAGAAAGAACTGGAGAAGATAACAAAATACAAAGACCTACAAATAGAAATAGAAAGACTGTGGCAAAAGCAAGCAAGGGTAGTACCAATAGTCATAGGAGCCTTGGGTGCAATCCAAAACAACTGGAGCACCACTTTAACACCATTGGCATTGACAAATTCGTTATTAGTCAATTGCAAAAGGTGGCCTTACTAGGAGTTGCTTCCATCCTGCGACGATATCTGTAATACCATCAAACATCCATATCTGCCTATCCCAGGTCCTGGGTAAGGACTCGATAGGTAGACAAAATGCCAAATCCAGTCTGAACATTTGGCTGACTGTGCGATGATCCATAACAACAACAACAACAACAACAACAATAATAATAATAGTTGGAAGGGACCTTGGAGGTCATCAAGTCCAACCCCCTGCGCAGGCAGGTAACCCTATACCATTTCGGACAAATGGCTGTCCAGTTTCTTCTTAAAAACTTCCAGTGTTCTTAAAAACTTCCAGGTCACATGTCCACTGCAATGGATGTGTGAAAACTAGTCATGTCACTTTTTTCAGTGCCATTGTAACTTCGAATGGTCAAGTCAGTGACTACCTGTATCTTATTTTTTTTAACCAATACAACTTTGGTATATACTTTTAAAACCTGTTATTTCTTGTGAATGCTTTCAAGAAATTTATTTTTGCTAAACAGTATAATGGTAGGTGTGTATTAGCAATTGCTTCTAGGAGCACGAAGCTGAAAGCACCAGCCTGAAGATAACGAATGAGACTTCGTTGAAACGTCGCCAAGACACTTCCAATTTTACGCGGGAGAAAACCCAAATAACCGAAGACCTTCATATAAACACCCGCGAAAACCTCAGAAAACACACACACACACAAATATGTATGTATGTATGTATGTATGTATATGTTTTCTGATTAGGGCATGAAATTGACTTTAAAAAGACCAGAACTATCGCCAAAACTGAACATTTTAATAACAGAGTAATCAGAGAAGCCATCGAGATAGAAAAACGCCCACACAGCATGAACAAACGAGATGATATCTCCCGCCTACCAGCCATTTGGAAACCTGCCCTTATTGACAAACGACTCCCTAACACAAAAAATGACACCAGACACACACTCACAAAAACCACACAGGATGTCACCACCACACATCCACGCAAAAAGCAAACCCAAAGCCACACCGATGATGAGGCACGACCACAAACCAGAAGCCAGACCACAGCTGCATCATTAGCCACTTTAAACCCCTCCAATCCATACATGAAGCAAACTGACACCCACCATGAAGATGAGGCACGACCACGAACGCGAAGCCAAAAAATAGCAATGCAGTTCACCATTTTAAACCCCCCTGCAACTCAGACTAACCTGAGCACAACAAAGCCCCCACCCAAACAGAACACTCCCCCAGCCAATCAGAGCACAGCCAACCCCCCAGCCAATCAGAGCACAGCCAAGCTCCTAACCAATCAGAACACACCTCCATCCAATCAGAACACAGCCAAGCTCTCATCCAATCAGTTCATACCCCCACTGGCAGTTAAAAGGAGGAAACAGCTACAATCACACATTGCTCCTAGAAGCACGAAGCCGAAAGCACCAGCCTGAAGATGATGAATGAGACTTCGTCGAAACGTCGCCAAGACACTTCCAATTTTACGTGGGAGAAAACCCGAATAACCAAAGACCTACATATGTATGTATGTATGTATGTATGTATGTATGTATGTATGTATATATATATATATATATATATATATATATATATATATATATATATCTTGAGTGCTTTTTGATGCACCCCGTCGACCCAAATATGGGAGAAAGAAATCTTTTGCCTTGTGTCAGCTCAAACTAGAGCCATCCACAGGCAGCAGTCGCAACTGCGACATCATTTATATTATAAAATTTGGATTGCTAACAAAGAATTAAGGGAGAATGGAATAACTATTTCGAACTTTTTAGTTCTCGTCAACCAGACATACCCTTCTGAGATTCGAACCTGGGCTGTCTGCAGCTGTGTTAACCTCTAGGCCACAGGCTCTTTCTCACTTTGTCAGCTGTGTCAGGGAGGGA